GGGAGAGAGACAGTTTCGAGGAAATTCTTTCGTCGAAGTATTAAATATTAAATACGATAAAATATTACACACACAATATGAATAAATATATATATATATATATACACATACACATATATTTATAGGAAGAACAATGAAACGAATAGATGGACTCATTAAATGTTCTTTATCTATATACTGTTCGTGAATATCTTAATTAGATAGATAACGAAGTTAAACGAGTAAAGCCAGAACGCTGACGCAATTACGAATACAACGTGAATCTAATGATTCAAGGTACTATCGATGCAGTCAATATCCAGTTGCGAGCGTTCCGTTTTGGGATTTTGTCAGTACATCCTCGATTCCCGTCAAATTATAAATGTCATAACATAAATATGATGAAACTCTATCGATATATAGCGTGTATATTGTATAATCGATTGATTATTTATCCGCGGTTGCTCGAATTTGGATCTGAACTGCGGCCGAAAAAGGAAAGGGAGAGGGGCAAGAGAAAATTTACAGTCCATATAACGATGATATGTATGCAGCGTGTGCAGTGCTAGTCGACAGAAAGCCCATTGTAAAAGATTGCAACGAGACACAATTCTTGCGAGCGATTGACCAAATTAAGTAGTATATGGTAGGCGATCTTCAATTTTCTCATTAGAGCGATATTTTTGTTTCGATTTCGCATATATCTCGGATAATGATTATCAGTCGCGAATTATCGCATGTATATGTTCTCGCCTTTGATATTGTTTATGTTTTTCTTCCCGTTCTTCTATTTATTCTCTTTATGCTACGTCTCGCGCGAGAGAGGATTGATAAGACCGATTTTTCCAATGCCGATTGACTTGATTTGTGATTTTCAATTTTTTTTTCTAGATCGTGATATCTTGCTAATGTAATAACAAATAGTAAGATCTAATTGACTGCAATTTATGCTAGTTGGTATTGGCAGAATCGGTCCCTCGAAAGACTATAGCTAATATTGTAGATACTGAGTTTTTATATTGATCATGATTTATGCGAATATTTTCTACTGCTCTTAGCATTTTTTTTAAGAGTGTATTAAATCATTTTCATTTTCCTCGTGTCGATATCTTCAATTCCGCCAGCGCGTATGTATATCGATGAGTATAAATAGATATATACAATTTGATAGGATAGTTGAGAGAAAGTTTTTCGAGTCAAAGGGAACGAATATATATCTATAAAGTCGGTTTGTATGAAGTGAGAAAATAGTTAATAGTATTCGAGCGGATACAGATGTCTGATGCAGATGCGAGGTGGAGGAAGCGGCCAGATATATTCTCGGGCTTGGTATCAACGAATACGCTTCCTTTCCTTCATCGATGTACATTTCCATTTTTCGTTCGTTCGTTCGCTCTCTCGATTAATTTCACACTTCGCGTAGTCGGGATGTATTTTTGTATAATATAATATGAAACGTATAAGATCTTCTCTGAGCGTAACCGGCCGCCGCGGGGACAGTTCGTTAGTCTGTAAAATCGGTAGCTACGAGTCGAGCCTCGAGACCGCAGAGATCGCGCAGAGTTCTTCAAGGGTCGCTGATAGCTCTAGAACGGCGACGCGAGTCGACTCAATCATTATTAATATTAATTTCAAAATTAAATAATATTAGAAAATAATTATTAATATATTATTAATATATTGTTACTAATATTATTTATCAAGCGGGAAGAATTCGGACAGTTTTATTACAAATATGTTTATAGAAAAACTCTAGCAATAGTAAAATTGAAACGTCAAGAAAGTCACATTCTGACTTCAATGCATGCTTTATGAATAAATCTAATTTATTATTTTATCTCTGAAAGGTGCATGATATTCTTTGCTTATGTCATACAGTTATTTGTGCATTATTACAATATTCTGTATTTAAATTATCTCTTTTATGCTTTATCTCGTACAATAGATGATTTTCTTTATTTTTGTCCCGTTTGATCGACATCGCGCCTAAAGCTACCGGCGACCGAGCGCAACAGGACAATATTACGTAAATATTATTATCATATTATAGGAAGATGTGTGAGATGAGATAATCCAATTGTATTCAATCTCTTTCGCTGTAAACTAGGAACATATTCTTGTCGCAACTTCTTACCCCGGCAAATATATAGTTTAGATAAAGCCTCCCGGTCGCATAAGGATACACACTGTACATTGTACACTATATATTATTAGTATTTATGGAAGGGATTATTTATGAAAAATAAGATGATCGAGCTGAAATAACGAGAAAAAGTGAAATCGACACCACATCGTAGTTTTTTTCATTGTAATCTAATAGAGATGCCTTGTTGTTGCTTCAAGAATGGCTTGTTGCGCTTCTCGTTTTCTCCTTAGAGAAAGACATCAAGAAAGAAAATGCAGTCTCTTAAAAAGGGCTTTACTGTTATTTAGTTTTAACATAATTCCATTTGTGCTCTTGCATGTGCATATACACACACACACACACACACACACACACACACACACACACACACACACACACACACATATATATATAAAGAGTGAAGGAGGAGAGAGAAAAAGGTTATCAATTATGAAACGAAATGATAATTCCAATTTCGAGAATAATTTCGAGACATGCGCATATGCGAAAATTTGCAATCTGTCAAGTGTTTCGAAAATTATTTGTAAAGTCGTATACATTTATATTTATTTATAAATATACACAATTCGCGCACAATCTCTTGTAATGTAATATACAAGTTACTAAATTTGTTATATGTTTTTTTTTCTTCTTTCTTTTTCTCTTTTTCTCTTTCCTTTTCATTATACTTTTTTATTATACTTTTTTTAAAAAAGTTTATCATGTTTTTAGAAAATTTGATTGTAATTTTGAATAATTGTAAGTAGAAAATTGTTGCTTGGATCTGTTTATGCTGTAAATCGAGTGCTGGCGAGATTAAAACGTTTAATAGAAACAAATGTGAATGGGAACGTTTATCGTCGAAGCGAAAAATCGTGTACTTTGTAATGATATTACGCAATATAATACGTGTGCATATACAGCGCGATGTACTATTATTGTCGATCGTTATTCGTGGCGCCAATTATTAGTGGCGGTTTGATGATCCATCGCCGTTAATATGATTTTGAGGGCAGGAACAATCTGAGATCACAATATGAGCGCGCAATAACGAGCCGACAATGCCTTCTCGTTGTACAAATGTCGAGGTAAATGAAGGAATGAAAGAAATAAAAGGAAATCGTATAAACCGCGATCGTGGTGTCAGAGTATCTTTTGGCGGCGTATAGCTTTATAAAAACACAAATCAGCATAATCTTCGCTGTAATAGGGAAAAAG